TCGATTAGAACTTGCAATTTAGAAAGATTCCAAATGCTGAGATTTGAGGATTTCAAAGCAAAGCAGTAAAGCAAACCAAAGAATCAAAGCTTCACATCGTTCCTTTCAGTTCATTTGTGCATCCCCTAATGAGGACGCTTTCCAAAATTTTTTCGAGACACTGTTGGAAGGTCTCGGGGTTAATGCTAACCTCAAACTTGGGTAATTAAACCGAAGATTGTGGTCTCTGTCACCCTATCTAGACGAGCCGTGTGCCAGATGCCGCTTTTCTCTACGAGACACAGGAAAGGTACACACAGTCGTGTCGTCTCGGGTCTCTGCGAGGGCTGATGCTCTCTCGGGTTCGCAGCCGCCTATTTCAGCCGTCTCTCTCAGCAGCACACTCGCTTACGACCATACCACGTTGAAAACACGGCATCCCGTCCGATCTGCCAAGTTAAGCAACGTTGGGCTCGGTTAGTACTTGGATCGGAGACGGCTTGGGAATCCCGAGTGTCGTAAGCTTTTTATATTTTTGTGGATCGGCCTATGACTTGGGAATCCATTTTTACACAAATTAACAAAGTAAATCGTAGTAAAGCAAATCGATTGCTTTTTGAATTTTCAACTTTATTTTCTTTATTCTCGGAGCTTTCCAGTATACAACTTACAAAATCAACCTGTAGAGGGATTTAGATTTGATTTTAGATTAGATCTTCAAAAAAGGATCGAAGAATCACAAGTGATCGAATTGTTGAGTTTTGTGGGCTTCCCAAGAGGGAAATCCGTTCCAAAATTTCTCGAGACACCTAAGTGGGTCTTGGGTTTAATACTAACCTCTAACTTGGGTAATTAAACCGACTTTGACGGTCTCCTTCTCGCTAACCATCTGCCCCATGCACCGGAATTGTGGGCCCTTTCAAAGTACACCTCCGACACTCAGATTGCTCCGCAATTTCAGGAAGAAGTTCCGAAATTCTTCATAAGAAAACAACTACGAACTCTGAAAGACATGAAAATGCTAAAACGACGAACATCAGATCCAAAAATATTTATTGACAAACAGGAACAAAATATTTATTCATTAAAAAATCAACTTTTGTGCTGAACTTTCGAAAGAAAAGCGACGATTTTGATTTCTTTTTTCCATTCCACTGCAAATTATAATGATCAAAATAAACATTTTTCGCCTGATTCTCCAATTCGATTAAATCTCTCGTTGTCGAGATTCGTCTCTTCTCGCTTTTCACCACAATCCAATAAAGAACCCATGGGGAGATCGCTGTGAAATAGCGAGGAGCCTGAGAATTTCTTTGATCATTTAAATTTTTTGCTTTATTTACAAAAATGTGTCCTGATCCAGTAGAATACCATGGTTCTTCCAGGTTGAGAAATATTTCTCGATAAATAATAGAGATGATTGAATAAGAAAAGAAACAAAGGCCATGGAAGATGCTGAATTTAAAGGAGATTAGTGAAAGTTGTCGGAGAAAGTTTTCGAGAATTAAATTCAAATTCAAATTCTAGCTGAAATTGTGGTGAAAGCTGACGTGTACTTTGGGGGAGAGCACAATCGCGCACTTTCTGGCACACGGGATAGATAGGTAGCGATGAAAGAGACTCTCAAGCTGGGTTCAATTACCCAAAGCTGGAGCGCACAATCGCGCACTTTCTGGCACACGGGATAGATAGGTAGTGATGAAAGAGACTCCCAAGGTCGGTTCAATTACCCAAGGCTGGAGAAAGTTTTCTTGGAGAATTTCGAAAATTCTAGCTGAAATTGTGGTAAAAGCTGAAGTGTACTTTGGGGGAGCGCACAATCGCGCACTTTCTGGCACACGGGCTAGATAGGTAGTGACGAAAGAGACTCCCAAGGTCGGTTCAATTACCCAAGTCTGGGCTTTTTGCTAACACCCACATAAGTGTAAAGAATAAAGAAGCTGACGTTTGAAATTCATCATCACCTGTATGGAAGAAACAATCCCATGGTTGAAATCAACTGTCGTCGTTTCAAGTTCACCGAAATATCATAAGACTTTCGGAGTCTGAATGATATAAATTTGTTGAAATACTTTAAACCCTAACCTATTCTCCCTCTCATACAATGCCAAGAGCACAAAAGCGCTCAAAATCGTGATCACTTCGAAGACGCCAGTGATCAGCGATTCGGTGTTCAATTTCTCGGCTAATCCTTTCAAATTCCCAATACAATATGGGACATCACCACCGGGTAATTCAACACCACTCAGCTTCCAATAAAATTCTCCACAAGAGCCGAGAATCTGGAAAAATTGGTCAGTTTCTATTTGAATTTAATGCGTTTTAAAAACTACCGTACTATTGTCTTTTTTTATCGAATCTAGAGCTAGATTACGATAGTTTTTGAAAGTTTTCACGATTTAGAAAATATTTAATTTCACTTACCGTAATAATCGATATAATTCGTCTCATTTTTATATCATTTTTGCTCTCAAAGATCCCAATAAATGTGATAATTCGATAAACGGAAAGACCGAGATTGAGCAACGGTAGAGAGAAGATTGAAAATATTGAAGCAAAACGAAGAGAAGAACAAAGATATGAAGAGATTAGAGCAAGACATGGAGGTTGAGTCAGGTATTGGAACAGGAGAATTGACTGAAAATTCGATCTTTCTCAGTAGAATGTCAGTAGAATGCCTACTGTGAAGAGAAAGAATGGTCAAAATGTGGTTTTGGCTTTCTTGGATAGAGAGATTTCTTGTTTTGGCTTGAGACTTTAGAATCTTCATTTCTCCAGCTCTGATGACCAATTTGAGAGTGATTTTCAAACACGACAAATGCATTGGATCAAGTTTTCAATGGAATTCTGATTGCCGACTTGAAATCCCATTTGAAATACTCATTTTACTCAAGCTTTCCCTTGTTAAACAGATCCTATTTACATTTACAAGATCCAATTCTCTTCATAAACAAGATCTTGAACATTTTCCATTACCATTACCATTTCCATTACCATTACCATTACCTTTTCCATTACCATTACCTGTAATATCACAGTGAAAAAGTTCTGAATAAAGTGTATTAGATAGCATAAAAAGAGATGCTCTTTAAACGCCGAATCGATAAGAATCGAGGAGAGAATTCGACGAAAAGTGCCGAAAATTCCGAAAATCGAGAGAAGGCTGAGAACAGCTTGGGAGATGATCGTTGAGCGGAGGAAAGGATTCGTCGTGTATTTCGATATTTCTGTGCATGATGATGCATCCATCGCACGTATTTCACTAAGAAATATTGAAAATTCGTCTTTGTTTAGGGAAGTCGAGGAAAACTCGCCCTTTTATTTCGGTAAAATTGATCTCGTTTTTTAGATTTCTCATGGGATTTCAATAAAGACGTGGAACATTATTTTTGCCAATTAAATATAAAAAAATGATCTTTTCCTTCCATACAGTAATTTCTTTTGATTATTTTAGAAAAATACGAACGAATTGGTCATCTTTGGGTTTTTGTTCTTTGAACTCAAATGATGAGATTTAATCAAAGAAAATCGCTATTATCTTAAAAATTTCACTCATCTGAAAACGACAAAATGATTCTAGAAATCAATTTTCAGCACTAGGAAGAGGCCGTGTTTTTCAAAATTTTCTCCACCATATAGTGGACGATCTCCCGTGTGATTCCGCGTCACCGTTTCAATGAAGTGGAGTGAAAAGTTGACACATTTTTGGAAAGAATGCATAACAATGCAACATGAATCATTTCACCGGTCTAAGTTCCTTTGTGCATCCCCTAACGGGGACGCGTTCCAAAATTTTTTCAAGACACTGTTGGAAGGTCTCGGGGTTAATGCTAACCTCAAACTTGGGTAATTAAACCGAAGAGTGGGGTCTCTGTCGCGCTATCTGGACGAGCCGTGTGCCAGGTGCCGCTTTTCTCTACGAGACCCAAGAAAGGTACACACAGTCGTGTCGTCTCGCGTCTCTGCGAGGGCTGATGCTCTCTCGTGTTCGCGGCCGCCTATTTCAGCCGTCTCTCTCAGTAGCACAATCGCTTACGACCATACCACGTTGAAAACACGGCATCCCGTCCGATCTGCCAAGTTAAGCAACGTTGGGCTCGGTTAGTACTTGGATCGGAGACGGCTTGGGAATCCCGAGTGCCGTAAGCTTTTTGCAAAAATTGATTCCCAAGTTTCTAGATCGATCCACAAAAATGCACAATTTAACAGGGCAATGCAAACCGATTGCTTTTTGAATTTTCATTTTTAGTTTCTTTATTCCCGGACCTCTACAACATACAACTTACAGGATCAATGTGTTGGCTAGAGGAATTCTTTTGGATTAGAGCTTCAAAAATGATTGAAAGTGATCGAATTGCCGAACATGAGATTTGTGGACTTTCCCAAACGGAAATCCGTTCCAAAATTTCTCGAGGTCTTGGGGTTAATACTAACCTCTAACTTGGGTAATTAAACCGACGGTCTCTTTCTCGCTATCCATCTACCCCGTGTGCCAGAAGGCGCGCGATTGTGCGCTCCTTCAAAGTACACCTGTCACACTCATTTAGGCTAGAAGTTTCGAAATTCTCCAAAAGGAAACGAACTACAGTCAAACCTTTCTATAACGACATATCTCGGGATAGGGACCAGACTATCGTTATAGAGAGGTGTCGTTATAGAGAAACAAAAAACATCAGGTTCTCGTTGTGTAGAGGTTTTTCAAGTAATTGATTGAAAAGTTTAACAACAAATCACATAACGTCACTTTCAAACAAGTAATTCAAATTAACAATTCTCAACCAAAACAATCAAATTAACAATTCTTAAATTATCGAGAAAAAGGCAGTTAAATTTGTTTGTTTATTGCTAACAACGACTGGTTATAAAAAAAAAGTTATCAATGGTATTTAAAGCTAGGAGAATTTCTTTGTTCGTGTTCTTTCTTGCATAATTTCGAAACATTTGAAAATGTTGACAAGCCTCGATCCGTGAAATTGGCTTTTCCACTTCAAGTACTTTGTCGATGTCCCTTTCCAAAGACATTTCCGAGCGATCATTAACTTTGTTATCAGCTGTAATTTCTTCCAGTGTTCTTATACTTGCTGTGACAACGTTTTCATCAACCAAAGCGAAATATTCGAAAAACAACCCGTGTCTTTGTTTGAACTTCTCCAGTCATCCGTTACTTGCGTAAAAATTCTCGATTCCCATTAAATTTGCCACTTCTAATGCTTTCCGGGAAAGTAGAGGCGCATCAACACACTCATTTTGATTCCGCACTTCTTTCAGCCATTCGATCAGCGTCTTCTCAAAGCCATCAACACACTCGTTTTGATTCCGCACTTCTTTCAGCCATTCGATCAGCGTCTTCTCAAAGTCATCATGTTTTCTGTTCGACAATCGTGCTCTCTTCGACTGAGCTCCATCATCAACCGCTTGTAAGATTGCGTCCCTTTGATTGATGATCTCATTCACTGTCGTACGAGGTACTCCAACGATTCACACAATTTCAGAAGATCCCTTTGAAATTGAAAGATCCAAAATTTGCTTCTTCAAATTGAGATCGATACTCCGCGGTTTTTGCTTCTCGATATCCATCACCTAAAATAGAAAAATTAGTTGATTTAAAAAACAGGCAAACAACGACAGAAAACAACTAAGCAGTATAAAAACAATAAACGAAACAGCTTCTCGTATTTCCTGTAATTGAACCCCATGGGGCTCTATTTTTTCATACCCGCTCCAGGATGGGGCTCTATTAGAGGGACGGCATTTAATTACAGGGAATTCGGTAAGCGCACTTTAGCAAACCAAACTATAAAAATGCCACTTTTGACAAATTTCTGACAAAATTTCCTTGCAAAGCTAAAAGTACGCTAGGTTAAGTGCATTTTAGCAAAGCAATCTTTAAAAAGTCACGTTGTGGCAAAAGATAGAGGTTTTTTTTCTTGCCATTTTGTGTGATGGCCAACCAAATAAAACCCGTATTTTTCAAAATTTTCTCGACCATATAGTGGACGATTTCTCGTGTGGTTCCGCGTCACCGTTTCAATAAAAGTGAAGTGAAGAGTTGAAAAATTTCTTGAACGAAATAAAGCATCAAAGCCCCAACTCTTTTCACATTTTCAATCTCATTTGTGCATCCCCTAATGGGGACGCGTTCCAAAATTTTTACGAGACACTGTTGGAAGGTCTCGGGGTTAATGCTAACCTCAAACTTGGGTAATTAAACCGAAGAGTGAGATCTCTGTCTCCCTATCTGGACGACCCGTGTGCCAGATGCCGCTTTTCCCTACGAGGCACACAAAAGGTACACACTCGCGTGTCGTCTCGCGTCTCTGCGAGAGCTGATGCTCTCTCGTGTTCGCGACCGCCTATTTCAGGCGTCTCTCACAGCACCACACTCGCTTACGACCATACCACGTTGAAAACACGGCATCCCGTCCGATCTGCCAAGTTAAGCAACGTTGGGCTCGGTTAGTACTTGGATCGGAGACGGCTTGGGAATCCCGAGTGCCGTAAGCTTTTTGCATTTTTTTGGATCGGTCTAGATACTTGGGAATCCATTTTTGCTCAAGTTAACCAGCTAAATAGAGGCAAATCGCTTAAATGAATGGATGAATTTCCAGAGCTTTACTGTATACAACTTACAAAATCAATCTGTAGAGGGATTCTTTTGTATTAGAGCTTCAAAAATGATTCAAATGATCGAATTGTTGAGTTTTGTGGACTTCGCAAACAGAAGTCCATTCCAAAATTTCTCGAGACTCTGTATGTGGGTCCCGGAGTTAATACTAACCTCTAACTTGGGTAATTAAACCGACTTTCGTGGCCTCTTTCTCGCTTTCGACCTGCCCCGTATGCCAGAAGGCGCGCGATTGGGCGCTCGGCCAAAGTACACTTCGAAGACTCACATTTATTCACCAAAATATTCAACAAATAATCCTTGTAAATTCTCATTCATTTGAGCTATTCGAGAGGATAATGTAGACGCCAAAAGAGTTGCCCAAAATGTTCCACCGGAGCACCGTTGATTTTCCAGAACACCTAGAGGATGTTGAAGTCAAAATGTTAGAATTCAAAACCTGTAATCGGATTGTCAATTGGAATATAGCTATCTTGAATTTGCTCAGTCATTTTATAAAGGTAGAATTTTGAACTTTTGAAATTAGGAAGCGGAAATGAAAACGACTTTTAGAGATTTTCTTAATGCCCAACTTCTCAGCAGACGATAATTACCAGGTTTTGATTGAACTTTGACCATTTTTACTTTCTCAAATTTGTGATGTGCCACGAAATGTTTGAAAGTTAAAGGAGTTTTGCAAATGTTTCAGCTTGCTTGTCTCACAAACGCACGTTAACTGGTACAGCGATGGGATCGTCCGGTTCGGTTACCCAACCAAAGTGAAGGATTTGAAAATGGGGATATTCTGGCTAAGCAGTTTTCAATTTTCTTTAGATTTTTTCAGTTTACAGATCGAATTAGAAATGTTTTTTGAAAAAAACACTTACAATTAGATGAATTTGTTTTTTTTTTAAAACAGGGATTTGCTTGGGTTATTCTATTTTTCGAATAGATTTATTAAAAACCATTTATTTCTTTATATGTTGATGGATAATTTTAAAGTATTTAAATATTTGAAATGTGGACACTTTTAAAGTATCAGAAAAGTATCCGTCGAACCGCAATCTCAAAAGTAGATACGATTTTTGCACAAGAAATCACAATTGTAAATTTTTTTTCTTTGCCAGCATCACTTATTGGTAAGAGTTTTTCTTTTCTGTACCACGTGAAACATGTAAATTGAATTGTGCGTATTCTCAAAGTTGGAAACACTCGCTCTAGTGAATACCAATTTGTAGATTCTAAACACTAAAGCATTACAAAGTGCACTTTAAAGAGCAAGCGATCCACACAACAAAGCTGATCCAAAACTAGACCAAAAAACCCGGCCTACTAGGCGGAACCCTGATTGCTAACAACGCTAAGATTTTATTTATGCTTTTTGGCCATACAAATCAAGAATAATTGAATACTAACAATTTCCGGTAAAATCCAATCGGGCGAATTTTTCGTGAAAAGATACAACGTTGACATGTAAATCCGCTTCAATAGCAGGCAATAAAGCCAAGTTATCCAAATGTTCAACGAGAAAGCTTAAAACTGGATTTACTACGATAATGTTACCACGGTTACCAAAACATTTAGCAAATAATATTTATAAGTGATCATTTCGGTGAAGCTGTGCCAGAGGATTATGCAAATTCCGAAGAAATTCAAGAGAAACGTCGAGAAACTGTTGTATTTCCAGAAGCCGAAATATTAAAAGATGTTACGTTTAAAAAGTTTGGTTAACAGTTTTGAAATCAAATTTCTTGAATTTGTGTGAATTAGCTTTATTTTCTGAATGATCTTTGTGCTACACATTCTTTTTGGCGCACTTCGACTGTCAACAATGACAAGCTATTACTGTATGCTTTATGCTATTGCTGTATGCTATTACTGTATGCTATTGCTGTATGCTATTGCTGTATGCTCTACTGTATTGAGCCAGAGCAGGTCTTCAAGGCAATAAGCCGACCGGAAAGAGCAGAGTAGAGTCAGTTCAGGTCAGGGCTAGACAGGGCAGGTCTTCAACCAGACCAGACCAGAGTCAGACCTTCAGAGCAAGTCAGGTCAAGCAGGTTTACAGGATCAGATATCCCAGGTAACAATTAACATAGAATGTAAAATCTGTTAGTTTTTGAATCTCTAATTATGCTTTGTGGTTTGAACTTTCTAAACACATATATTTCTTGTAAAGTTTCAGAGATCATATGAAAGTTAGCGACAAAAAGTGATCAATAAACTTCGAAACTTTGATGAGATTGAGCAAAGGATTCCTCTTCACCGTCAGTCGTCTCGGAAAGTCCTAAATTTGTTATTTAAGAAACTCTTTTGTATGTTATTTCTTTGGTATTACACATTAAACATCAAACATTACTGATAGCTGAATGAAAATGTTAATTATTAAATTCTGTTCCCAACTTACTTCTCGGCTCATTGATAAAACGAAGCCTCGGTACTTGCAAGTAAGCAAATTGAAGTTCGTTGGCGAAAGTGAGAATGAAAATGTCGACAAAAATCACTCCTAACCACTCGGAGATCGTCGCAGCCATGTGGTTGATGTAGTACTAAAGTTATGAGGTTCTTGACCCAAAAAGGCGTTGATTTCATGACCCAGAAGACCAACCAGTCAGCCTCAGGGTTAGAGCAAAGGAAATTTTGCTCAGATATTTCTGGCCCACAAAAATTAGCCCTGAATCTGCCTGGAATTGGCTTCCGACGTTGTCTGTTTATAGGTAATCTTCAAGATCAAAGATGAGCAAGAATTCATTGGCTTCTTGGTTGTCTAGATCTGTAAATATCCAGTGATATTTATATCCAGAATCTAGCAAATAATTGACTGGCTTTTTGAATCATTTAGCCAGAGATAGCCAGAGATATCCAGAGATAGCCAGAGATAGCCAGAGATCCCAATATTTAAAGTTTTACTGACCGGTGAGTCCGGCGTGTACCAACGAATGCCATTCTTCCTTGGCGGTCTCGGGCCCGCGTCAGCAGGGATGAAAATGTGTGAGTTCACGCAAACCTCGTCTAAAATTTCGCGATTTTACAGTAATCGCAATTTCACAGTAACCGTAACTCACATAAAATCAACGTCTCAGTAGCCAAAATGACGATTAAGAGACGAAAATGGGACATCGCTTTCGTCGTCATCGCCGGGCTCATTATGTACCCGAAAACAACCTGGATTTGGACTTTTTTAAAGAATTAAATACTTTTAAACAATTTATTATGATATATTTTGATATTTAGATCTTAGATATTAGTTTTTTTTTGATAAAATTTACTTGACCCCAAATATAGAGAAGACCAAAGAAGAAAGCCATTGTTGAGCCGATCCGATGCACGATTTTCACATCAATGTCCTAAAAAAGAGAACTCGTATTTTTCAGGACATCTAAAAAGATAATTTGTAAGTAAACTTACCGGAAAATTGGCTAACAACGAAATTCCGAAAGCTGAAAGAAAAGCGAAGGCGGTGAGCATCGTGCTGCACACACGCCAGACGCCGAATTGCATCTGCAATCGGTGACCGTAGTATTCGACGATTTGTCGATGTCGGAGATAGACGGTGACGGCCACTAAAATTTTTTTCTAATTATTAAGCTATTAAGCTCTATTCTTTATTTTTAATACAAATTTGAGTATTACAATTTAATTTATTTGTATTACCTTATTTTCTCTAATAGTAGTGCACAGTGGCGATCCGAGTTTGATGACGATTTTACGGTTTTCAAGCTTTTGCAGAAGCTCAACACTCAAATCCCCCACAAGATCTCATCGTCAGCTATATTTTCCGACCCCACATCGATAGGTTCTGATAAGCGGCTCTCGAGATTTCGAGGAATTTAGGCAACACTCTGGGTGCACTACTACATTAGAGAAAATACGGTATTAGGCTGTCCAGAAATTCTTTTATCGTTCCTTTTCGTACTTTCGTTGAAAAATAACAAATTAACCTATGCTTTGCTTTAAATAAAAAGTGTTTATTGGTCAATTTCCATCTTTTTAAGTCAATTTCGTTTCACTTACAGCGCAAATTCGCTAGTGAAAATCGTGTTTTTTTTTTTCTTCTATCTATAAAAACCTCTACGAAGAAAATGGGTGAATGAATTTCTCTGAAAATTTGGCTATACATCTAACTTTTTGTGCTCTATCTTTTATCGATTGACACCAAGATCGGTTTCCTTAGTGCAAAGTGTTTAAACTAACTGTCTAAGCTAAACTTAGCTTGCAAACTTGCAAATTTCGACTTTTTGAAAGCCACAAAAACACAAAAACACAAAAAACTCCTTTTTTTATGACATTCGAAATACGACTTACTAAAAAATACAGCTGCATTTATGAACATGGCAAAGATACATCGTTCAGGCGGTAGTGCACCGATGGCGCTAAAGCTTTATCATTCATTCATTCAGTCTATGATTCATTTTGCATTTTGCTATTTCTTTACTTGGCTATTCTTTATTGAACTTTTAATTACAAAATTTCAAACAAGAAACAAAAGAAAAAACTCTAGTAAAACTTTAGTTAAACTTTAGTTAAACTCTAGTAAAACTTAATCAATAAAAAGTTCAGCTATTCACCTGATAAAGTTCATTTGAAGAGGGAAATGACCGAGGAAAACGCCAGTGAAAAAGCTGCCGTACATTCCGACGAGTGAACAAATGACGAACATCACAGGGAACACCCACACTTTTGTGAACATTTTAAATCAAAAAAAAAATTGCAGAGTAAAGAATTAAGTGCGAGGGGAATTGTTTTGAATCGTTTTTTGGATGGGTTCATCCACAGTTTTCCGTTTGAATTGAAAGATCGATAACGAGACTTCCAAATATTCTTTTGTCTTGTTGATAAGCTCAAAGACTCGGGACTTACAAGGGTGCAGAAAAAATGGAAAAATTACGTCAATTTTCGTTGTACATTTTAGTTTTACAATACTTTTGTTCTCAATTTTGACTTAATCTTGACGTACTTGTGCGAAAAATAGATATAAGACATATTGCAATGGATCACAAAGGTGTTTTTACAAGTACTAAACACAAAGTACATTGCTTATTTGCTGTTGTGAAAAAAATAGAGAATTCCGTGCACTAGAAGGGGTGTGTTTTGAGCTTTAAATATAAAGTAAACTTCAAGTAACAACTTTTGAGTAACATGGAGCCAATATTTCAACATTTTACAATGAAATTATCAAGTTATATCGAAAGATCTGCGGAAATTCTGTAAATGAACTGTCTCCAAATAAATTTTAGTGAATTTTGTTTCTTTTTCTTTTTAAAATTCAAGATTTCAGGGAAAAGACCAGGACGATCCGTGTTCTTTGTGGTCTCACACAATCGCGCGCTTTCTGGCACACGGCTGGATGGGGGTCGATAAAAGAGCCCTCTTTCCCCCTCAACAACCGTCCTTCACTGATGACAATTAACCCAGCTTTCTGGACGATATTGATGAGAATTTTATGCTGAGAAAGACTTTTTTGCTTTGGTTGGAGAAAATTTACAATATTTGTACCAAAATATGTTTGAAAAGCTATTCCAGGAAGATTTTCAGTGAAAACTTTCTTTTCACTATTATACACTGGATTTTAGCTGAGAAATTGGACATTTTTCAGAAATTGAGCATCAAAAAACACTTCTAAATCTTAAAAATGATTTATTTTGTGTCAACATTCCAGATACCAAACGCCAAAATTGATTTGGAAAACATTTTTGAGTGACTTTTATGTTTCGTGGTGACATTTGATGGCTCTGAGCGGCTCTCCATCAGCTTTCGTGTGGGAAAATTGTTGAAATTTTTCGAATTTCAGCAATTTCACTCTCAGAGATCAGCTTATTGCCTTTAATTGTGAATCATTACTTTAAAAAAACTAAAAGTTTCTACTTTTTCAAATTCCCTCTAAGCTTTGTTGTTCAATTTTGAATTGTTAGTTAAAAAAGTTGAACGTTCCGCTCTGATTAGGCTCACAAAAACATCAAACTCGTGCCAAAGCCACAAATGAAGTTCTTTATGATGTTTTTTTTTCCTGCTTTAGTTCTTTTGAATACATTTATTCAACGAATAATGTCTTACAAATAATAAAGAAGCATCCTTAAGCTCGAAATGTAGGGAATGTTCGATTTAGATTTTCGTCCGATTTAGATTTTGAGTCTAAATCGGACGTCTGATTTAGACTCAGTTGTTGCTTTATGTTTTACAGAAGTTTTCAGAATTTGGGCAACATCTTAGGATTTACTACGGGATATCAAAGTTCGTTTTTGAACCATTGTACAAAAAATTGCAGTTGTTGCAGTCTAATTTAGGTTGATTATGGATTGTTCAATTTTGTTGTTTGTTCTAAAAATAAACTTGTTTGCAATTCACAACCGTTAAAAAAATTCTGAAAACTTCTGTAAAACATAAAACAACAACTGAGTCTAAATCAGACGTCCGATTTAGACTCAAAATCTAAATCGGACGTCTGTTTTAGATTGAGTCTCAATCGGACGAAAATCTAAATCGGACATAACATATATACCGTATTTTCTCTAATAGTAGTGCATCCTGAGTGTCGCCTAAATTCCTCGAAATCTCGAGAACCGCTTATCAGAACCTATCGATGTGCGGTCGGAAAATGTAGCTGACGATGAGATCTAGTCGGGGATTTGAGTGTTGAGCTTCTGGGAAAACTTTGGAAGCCGTAAAATAGTCATCAACTCGGCTCGGTCGGGTACTACTATTGGGGAAAATACGGTATATGAAAAAAAAAAGAAGCAATAATCTAGCCAAATTGAACCCTTGCCCTCTAGACTAAGATACAGGCTAGCTAGCAATAGCTCCCATAAAAGATGTGCTTATGAGAAAATTTGAGAAAGAAAATTGAGGTTTATTAAACTTTCTGAAAAGATCAAGATTGAGAATTTTTAAACACTTTAACATGCAAACAACCGGAAACCCACGATTTCTAGGTCATCAAATTCTTCGTTTTCCCAAATTAAGTACCCCAGAAAGGATGCGTTGGTGAGAAAAAGTTTGTAGAACAATTTTTTGTTTCGAATCGACTAAAATCTGTACTTAGAAATGTTCTACAACAATTTTCCATCAATAAAATAAAGAAACTGAGGAAAGAATGAAGAAACTTGAATGTTTACTTGTTTCAAATCCCCTAAAAATTGATTCAAATCCCCTCAAAATCTGTAATCAAATTTAGATTTAATTTTTGTATTCCTTGAGAACTTTCGCACATTATATAAAAAGAAGAAAAAGAAATAAGTGGATTTTCTCGGCAATTAGCTCTTTGAAAACTCAATTACGTTTGTTTCTGGTTGAGAATTTGTCGTTTTGTGTTTTTTTATTTTCTAGAGGAAGTGGAAAAAAAAGAGAATGGGCATTCAATCTATTCTTTTTGCGGCTTGCATTTGCGTCAACTTTCAGCAGAGAGATTTTAAATGCTTTTTTCTTTTTGAAATGCCTTCAAAGCACTTTAAATGCCTATTGTTTTTATCGGAAATTTTATTTCAAAATTTAGATCAATAATTTTGTCAATAATAGAATAGATCAAATAAAAGAATACACCCATGCACAAAAAAAATGTCACATCGTTTTTACAAAACTTTACGCCTAAATTTGACCTACTAAACGTGTTCCAAATTCTATGCTGTCAAAAGGTTTTAGATAGCAAAAAGCTTCTACTTTCTTGTGAAAAAGTGTTCAAGTTCCAGCAATTTGCTTAAATTTTTATTTTTCAATAAATACCGGAAGAACACCAAAAACGGGTGCACAAAAAAAATGTCACATTTAACTTGAACCTCCCTTAGCTGGGCCTCCCTTAGCTTGAATAACTGCCTGAATCCTCCGTGGCATCGAATCAGTCAAATCCTCCAAGATTTGAGGAGAAATTTTCCGCCATTCGCTTCGAATGAAGTACCAAAGCTCAACCTTGGTCGCAAATCGTTTGCCCTTCAGTTTACCCTTGATGTGCGACCACAAATGCTCGATTACGTTGAGATCCGGGCTGTAAGGTGGAGCAGCGACGAGCTTGACACGATTGTCAGCGAACCATCCCGGTAAACGAGCCCTTCCACCGTTTGAAAGTCGGCCGACCCTTCCTATCAACATCTGGTGCTTGTGACACGGAGCGTTATCCTTGTACAACAACCATCCTTGTCCCATATTCGTGGTCGCAAATGGAAGAAGATCATTCTCCAGGATCGTCTTGTACCGCTGGGCCTTCAAGATTGAGTTGAGAAAGACGAGCGGACCTGGTGAACTTCTAGTTATCGCTCCTGAAAAAAAGCAAGATTAGTTGACATAAGGGAACAAGTCTTTTTACCCCATAGCATAATCGATCCGCCACCAAATTTGACTGTCGGCCGCAAGTATTTGATGTTATGGCGTTGTCCAACTGGTCTCCGGATTATGCTATGGGGTAAAAGACTTGTTCCCTTATGTCAACTAATCTTGCTTTTTTCAGGAGCGATAACTAGAAGTTCACCAGGTCCGCTCGTCTTTCTCAACTCAATCTTGAAGGCCCAGCGGTACAAGACGATCCTGGAGAATGATCTTCTTCCATTTGCGACCACGAATATGGGACAAGGATGGTTGTTGTACAAGGATAACGCTCCGTGTCACAAGCACCAGATGTTGATAGGAAGGGTCGGCCGACTTTCAAACGGTGGAAGGGCTCGTTTACCGGGATGGTTCGCTGACAATCGTGTCAAGCTCGTCGCTGCTCCACCTTACAGCCCGGATCTCAACGTAATCGAGCATTTGTGGTCGCACATCAAGGGTAAACTGAAGGGCAAACGATTTGCGACCAAGGTTGAGCTTTGGTACTTCATTCGAAGCGAATGGCGGAAAATTTCTCCTCAAATCTTGGAGGATTTGACTGATTCGATGCCACGGAGGATTCAGGCAGTTATTCAAGCTAAGGGAGGCCCAGCTAAGGGAGGTTCAAGTTAAATGTGACATTTTTTTTGTGCACCCGTTTTTGGTGTTCTTCCGGTATTTATTGAAAAATAAAAATTTAAGCAAATTGCTGGAACTTGAACACTTTTTCACAAGAAAGTAGAAGCTTTTTGCTATCTAAAACCTTTTGACAGCATAGAATTTGGAACACGTTTAGTAGGTCAAATTTAGGCGTAAAGTTTTGTAAAAACGATGTGACATTTTTTTTGTGCATGGGTGTAGATCAATAATAAACAATAATTGAAGTTGTCTTTCTTTTGCTCATTTTTATGCTGTAATTTATCGTTAAAGAACTACAGCGTCAAATCCAAAGAGCTTTCCAAAATTTAGATCATTCTTATTCAAGTTTTTTGCTTCAAAACACACTCTTTCTAGCGTACTGAAATCTTCGTTTTCTTCGTTTTCTATCTCTATTTGCTAGAAAGGATATGTTTAAAAACTTTTGCGCAAAAGTACACTCATTATCACAAGGTGCAAAGCTTTTGTTCACTGTGGTAGACTTTGTGCCGTAAACAAACTGCAAACCTGTACTTTGTGCTGTAAACAAACCCTTTCTAGTGCATTTAGTTCTTCATTTTTCTCTCAGAAATGGTTGATTTTAATAGAAAATTAAAGAATTTAATGTATTAGTAAGTAAGTAATTAAGTAAGTAAGTAGGTAAGTAGCTAACTAAGTAAGTAATCTTTTTCAGTTTTAAGCTAGCAATTCGTTTTCTAAACTCAGCTTTAGCAATCGCCAGATGTTAGCTCAAATGATTAATTT